GTCTCCTGCTCAGCAGTTTGCTGACCTTTCGGAGGAACGGACCTTGGAAAGAGCACCGCAGAAAAGCGAGAGGCAAGCAGAGGGTGCAGGCGGGTGGCAATTGAGATCATTGGGCCAGTGCCTCACTGCCCCGGCCTGTCTGCACAGTCAGCGGCTCGCCATCCTGCCGCTCTTGTCCTTATCTCCCCCGCCTTCCATGCTTTCATCTCTCTTTAGAGGACTGTGCAGCCCTGCCAAATGGTCAGAGCTCTGGACGGGAGCCTGCAGGAAACACAGGCCCTCTCAGCACCAGCAGAAACCCTCGCAGTCCGAGCGTGCCCCGTAGGCAGCGGCAGGGCCAGCACCCTGCTTTGTCTAAAAGTAACGAGTCATGGTGTGTAGAGACACTCTGTGGTTCTGTGTGCCTGTGGTCCTGGGGTTGCTGGTTCACATCCATTGATTGGCAGAGTGATGTCACAGTTTGACCCCCAAGCAAGACCAACAGACATCTAGATAGTTTGTGTCTGTGTGTGTGTGTGTGTGTGTGTGTGTGTGTGTGTATATATATTTATGTAAGTAATGCATTTGATGTAACTGATGCATTACAATGACATTGTCATAAAGCTGTACTAAGGTGAGCCAGAATATTTGTTCTATATGACAGAATAAAAATGAAATGTATTACAATGATGTAAGGAAGTCCAGTAAAATCCCTTCTCAGCTAAATCAATGACCTGGCTTAAGAGATCACAGTTTCATATTTTTAAATCTCTTCCATTGAGGCATCTTGTGATAGTTCCGATTAATGGCGTATGGTCTCTGTATGGAAGTCCGTGCCGGAAAGGGAGGGGGGGAAGCTGGACATTTACAGGAAACCATGCAGAATATTCTCTAACGTCCCAGCGGGAGGGAGGCATGGGGAGGGCAGTGAAAAGCGGTGGCTAGCCGGTTATGCGGATTTAAAATGCCCGGCAGTGTTGCGGTACACTATCAATCTGGGCAGAATTAGTTTGAAACTGCGTGTTTTGTTGCATTGCTTTTTGCCCTTTTTGGCAATGCGTCAATGCGAGTGTATTTGCGAGTCTGCCGTCTGTCTCTGCGTCTGTCGGCAGGCGTGCCGCTGCGCTCACCCGCGTCTGTTTACGCCGCCAGCGGCACCGGCATGCACGTTTTTTAATTGAATTTCGTCAGTGGCAGCCGGAGTTTATGAGGTGGGGGAAGGTAGGAGATAATGAACAGAAAATGGAGAATCGGGCAGAGGTGACTTGGCAGGCATAGGGGAAGGCTCAGCCATGACGGTTTCTGTGTACCTGCACGCACTGCCATCCACTGCTCGCTGCCCCGCCAGTCACTCTGGGTTGTCACGTCGATCCCCCCCATCTGGAAATTCCATGGAATGTCCTGAGTTTCCTGAATCTTTCTCCTCTGATTCCCCATGCAGATGGTACACTGATTCTGGTAGGACAGGGGCAAACAAACACACAGATTGGCACTCATCAGGAGACAACTTCTGGAGTCGTGTACATTCAAGCATGCAGCACTGAACATAAAGTTTATTGCCCAAAATGATTAATCATTATATCCTGACATTATGTCCTATAATGTCAGGTTTTTAAAGAAGATAAATCTATTTCCTGTTTCTGCTAGTGCACACTGCACAGATCTGGCCTGCCAGGGTTTATTTCTGTGCATTTAACTGGTTAAAGGTTTGCAGAAGGGCTGTAGGCCTGCTGTCCATGGGGAACAACACAGTGTAAACTCAGGAAGCCCAATAAACCTCAGATACACTGATCCTATGGGTGTGAGAGGTACTAGTTCAGCTAGTAAATTGGCTGCGTTCAGTTTTTCTTCTCCTGCTTCCGGGGGGGACTGACTGCCCCGGGGACGTACAGTTCCAGGGCTTAGTATGAGCTCTTAAACAAACGGCCTGCACTCCCCCCAGGGGGAATAAAGATGTAACCATTGTTTTTTGTGTCCTCCCCCCCGTCCTTCACAGGCGCTGGCTGCCAATGCAGGCACCGGCTTCGCTGTGGCCGAACCGCAGGTCGCCATGTTCTGCGGGAAGCTCAACATGCACGTGAACATCCAGACAGGCCGCTGGGAGCCCGACCTGTCCGGCACCAAGACGTGCATGGGCAGCAAGGAGGCCTTACTGCAGTACTGCCAGGAGGTGAGCGATCTCTGCCGTGTGTGTGTGTCTCAGCAACAAGAATCCTTACTGCAGTACTGCCAGGAGGTGAGGGATCTCTGCTGTGTGTGTATGGTCCAGATATACCTTACCTTGTGGGGACCAAATGTCCCCATAATGCGACAAATACCCTTTTTTTGACCTTATGGGGACCAGGGCTGGGTAGGGCTTAAGGTTGTCATAGTTAGCATTTTTCCCATATAAATCAATGAGTGGTCCCCACAAACATACCATTACAGGTCTGTGTGTGTGAGAGACCAGTTGGCAGACACCTCAACTCTAATATGCTCCCAGCACCGTCTGTCAGTGTTTAGGTGCAAAAGTCCCCTTTTCTGTATATTACATATGAAATATGAATGTGCAGCTATGTCACATTTCCTTGTTCATGTTTCAATTGTCTTTTGCTCTTTTCTAAAGTGTTTTTAGAAATTCATTCAGAAATGTGCTGCTATTTTCAAGTCCCAGTTTATTTGCAGTTATTACAATGCTGGAATGCTGCGATGTTCTTGAGTGAAAGCTTGCTAAATCCAATACGCCGTGTCCTTTATTTAAATAAAGCCGCATCTTGTGTTCAACAAATCCCAGGACATGGGTTTATCCCGAGTTCAGGGACTCTGTTCTTCCAGGGCTGTTCTAGCAGAGTCTGGCTGTACAGTTGTGCTCCGGTTCAATAGACAGGAATGTCGTTTGTCACACGTCGGAGTGCCGTGGCCAATAATCTGTCCCAGCTTGTTGGTCGATCTGAATATTGAGTGGCATTAGCCTGACAGTGCACCCCTGCCTCTGTTCTACAAAGAATATTACTGTATTATTCCTCTCTCTCTTTCCTGATTGTTCATATTTTCTGGGCTTCTCTTTTGATTAAATGCCACTGATGTCAGCAATGTCCGAATTAATAGACAAATGTGTCCGACAGTTAGGTTAATTCCCTTTGTCTGTTTTTATGGTGTTTTTCATTTTTTGTTTTTGCCAGTCAATAAAATGCATTGAATTCTTGTGTATAAAGGAGTCTTGTAATTGTGTTGATGCCGCTTTGAAAAGGTACAGCCTGGATAAATGCGAGCTGCAGGAGGAGGATTCCCCGACGTGACTCACAGTTTCTTTTTCTCCTTTCCTGTAAATCAGATGTACCCCGAGCTTCAGATCACAAACGTGGTGGAGGCCAATGAACCAGTGAAGATTGAAAACTGGTGCAAGAAGGATAAAAAGCAGTGCAAGGGCCACACACACATCGTGGTGCCTTTCAAGTGCCTGGGTAAGAGGGCCTCATATTCACTAAAATATGTATATTCTTTAACTCTTGTCTGATTCTCTCTATTTCCTTTTTCCTAATTCTGTTCCCGACTTTGCCAACACATTCAGAGGCTCCAGAACAGCAAAACATGAGAGATTCAATGAACAGTATGTTCTTGTTTTGGTCATTGTAGCTCATGATTCTGCAGTGGTATAAAGCAGTTACGAGATCTGTAGTCTTGTGACTGCAGCTTACTGGCTTGATGCTCTAGCCAGCTTGCAGAGCCTGTTGCTGCTGCCTGACCCTTTGAGGCTCTGGATCCTTCAGTCTATTCGGTACTTTGCTGACAGATTTGCCACAGTGATGATGTGACTGCTTTTCTTTGGCTGCTGGAAACCTAGTCATCAGTTTTTATATATTTTTATCTGTTTATTTTTATCTATTTATTTTTATCTATATATATATATATAGTGTGTGTGTATAGCTCTTTAGTGGTCTCTATGGTGAATTGCACATTTCTCAGCTTGATGACATTGCAGGGCGTCTGACTTGGTGGGTTGCTCTGCCTCACACCTGCAGTCCCACTCCCTACTCTGGGTGGAGGTAGCACCCCCACCCCATGCAGAGTTCCACGTGTCCCTGGGTCGACAAGGGAGGGGCTTGCGTTTCACTTCTTTAACCAGTCACAGTCTTCATCATATTACCTCACCACATTGATTAAAACCTGTGTTTTCTGTTGAGCGGCAAGATGCACAGATGTCTAAAGTACCTCTTCTATTGTGTAATCCTTTCGTTAAGGGTCTTGTTATAATAAACATAGACATAGCAGGAGTATGCTTGCCTGCAAGGGCTGTAGGGAGCAATGCAAGAGTGAGTCTTTATTTCATGGTGCAGTGACAATAACAATAATAACAAGACTCGAACCAGCACCCTTCCAATTACTCGTGTGAAAATGAGGGGGAAAAAACAGACCAATGCAGTGATGTCATACAGTGAAGACTGTGATTGGTTACAGAAGTGAAACACAAGCTCCTCCTTGGTTGAGCCAGGGACACGTTGAACAAAATCAGGATATCCTCCCCGTGCTCATATGAGTTTCCTTCTCTCAGCCGAAAACATGCAATTAAGTAAAACAGCATCTCTAAATGACCTGCAGTGTGCGAGTGTGTGTGTGCTCTGAGATGGATTGGCATCCGGGGTTGGGTGTCTCTTGCCTCATGTCGCGTTTCCTGGGATGCGTTCCAGGTTCGTCCCAATCCTTTACTGGATAAGCAGTAACGGAAGATGGATGGATTAGGATTAACTTTCTCAAGGGTACACAAGAAAGGCCTTTGTGGTAGCAAGCAAAATTCCTTAAGCATTTTGCAAGTGCCTCGTGACTTTGTCAATGTGGGGGTGCTGATCTTCCTGCGGGCTCTGAATGGTGCTGCTGCTGTTGCAGCCTTAGGTAACTGCAGAACAACTGAAGTGATAGTTTTCCTATGAAAAACCCAAGGCAGTTTTGCCAGCTGTTCTTTACTTGCTTCTCTCCCAAAACTCTGTATAACTTCAGTTAACTGTTTCATTCCTTTCACCAGTCTCTTGACACATCAATGTAAATTCGTTCTATTACCTCCCCATGCTTAAAGAAATCCATTGTTCTTGCCCTGCTGGGTAATTTCATAAGATATACAGTGTAAATCTCCTGTGCTCCCTCCTGACTGCGCTCCCCTCCAATTGGCAGTGCGGAGGCCGCTTTATAAGATGAGAAAAGCCATTAGCACCCTCAGTGAACTGTGAAATGGGCTGACAGGCCAAGGTTAGAAGGCTGCAGGTTAGTCTGGGAAGGAACTGGGTATTGAACACGGAACCACTGGTATTAGACTTAGAAACACGAAATCACTACGTGGTTGACTTTAAGAAAAACTTTTCAGAATGTCCTATTTGACATTTGATATCCATAATTGATGTGTTGAATACAGAAGGAAAAATGGGCAGGGTAAAGACCTGAATGACTAGAAGGACCAAATCGTTATGGCCAGATCAGAGCTTCTCCAGAACGGTTCCAGAAAGACTTGTGTGAGTGCACTGATAGTGGCCCGAGGAGGGAGACTCCATAATCCACAACCGGGGGTTGGGCAGCCAAGACTCTGCGATGCAAGATGTGAACAAAGGGCATGCTGTCTGGTACAAACCAAAGGAAGAGTTACTGTGGCACAAATCGCAGATAATCTTAGTGATGGTTATGGGAGTAACGTGACGAGATATCAAGCCATGTTGCGTATGGGGCTGCTTAGGCCAAATTGTATATAATGTATGTAGGTCTGGGGGGGAAAGGTACTCGGGGCCCAAATCACTGTTGTGTGGTCCTCAGCAATTCTTCTAAGCAGAGAAATATAACCTTGACAAAAATATATCAGATTTCAGTATGTTGCCTTTAGCAGCCAGGTGTTCCTAATCAAATGCACAAGATTACTTATCAGGAAGTGTGACTACCTCTATAAGAGCACTCGGGCTGTGTTTACAGTCTGCCAAATACCACGGGCATCAGCCATGACCTCAGAGAAGCCATTTGTTGTTGCTCATCAGTCTGGGAAGGCTTGTAAGGTCAACTCCTAACAATTAGAGATTAACCATTCTACACTGAGAAAAGTAGTGTTAAATCAAGGAAAACCCAAGAGCTACATCGGTGAGCATGTTAAATGTTCACCTTCATGAGTGCATAATTGGAAAAACAGTGGACAAGTACAGCTGGCATTAAAGGGTAGCCAGGCAAGAATGCAATCTCTCCAAAAGAACCATGCCGGTTCAATGTAGGTTTGCAAAATTGCATATGAATTGATCCATAAAAGTTATGGAACAATATCCTCTGGACCAGTGGACCAAGATGGCACCATGCACAATGACCAAATGCAGTGTACCACCATAAACACTTCACTTTTGTTGGTGGAGGGATGATTTTGGCTTGTTTTGCAGCCACATGACTTGGGAAAACTGTCATCAAGAGGACCGTGAACTTTACTTTCATACCAAAATATTCTGTGGACAAATGTGAGGCCATCTGTCCCACAGTTTAAGCTGGGTCACAATTAGGTCATGCAGCAGGACAATGGTCCCACAACAGCAAATCAACACCTGAATGACTTAAGAAAAAATTCAAGGTGTCGGAATAGCCAAGTCAAAATCGGGACCGCACCTCCACTGAGAACCTGTGCGTTAACATCAAACATCAATGAAGTGAAGCAATGCTGTAAAGAACAGTGTCCCAGAATTTCTCTAAAACGGTGTGAGAAACTGAAACTCCTAAGTGAAATGTTTGCTTCAAGTTATTGTTACTAAAGGTGGTTCTACATATTAGTGAGTTATACAAATTTTTCACTATACTCATATTATATTCATTACTTTCTGAGCAAAATGACAATGTATTGACCTATCGAGGTTATATTTGTTCAGTAGAAGTTAGTGAGGGTTGCGCAACTGTCATTTATGCCTTGATCAACACAGGCATATTGTAGGAGATGCAGGTTTGTATGCATTTGACATAATTGATACATGTTAAAAAATGATTATCACTTTGGTAGTGCTTCCTCATTTTTCCAACAGTATTTCTTTGATCTCTCTCTGCCCTTCTTCTTTCATACTCTCCCCTTCCTGCCCCAGGAACTGGCATCTTAAATAAAGCAGCACTTCAATCCAGCCCCCCCCCCCCCCTCCCCCCCGTCTATCATTTTTTGAAAGATGTGTTTAATTTCGACGGTGGTGAGCTTTCTCTGTTTTATTGCGTTTTATTGCACTTTTGACTGCAGCCGCATGACGCGGCCTGGCCTCTTCTCTCTGTTTACGTTTCGTTGAGTGGGCTTCTCGTGCAAAAGAACAGACATTTCTGTATGTGGGCAAATGACGTATTTTTGTAAGTGGGTAATCCGATTACTCGCAATGCGTTAATTAGAGATGAAACGTTAAACACCCAAGCAAGTATTCAGTCCTTGAGTATTCCATCTATCTGACCTAATTTTCCAAGATAACCTGATGCCAGAGATGTGGCAGCAGAGGGGGCCAGCGGAGGGGGAGGGGGGCTTGGCAGGGAAGTAAGCAGTGCAGTAATTGAGAATGTTTCCACTAGGGGGGAGAGAGATGGGTCTGCTGGGAAGTGGACATCACTGGATGTGGGGCAAAATATACCATGTGATTTTATTAGTGTTTCCCCCCATTCTCTCCTTCCCAGTGGTGCATATTAAAACTGGTGTACTGGAGCAGGAAAGAGGGCTGACTTTGAGTGTCTCCTCTCCTGCTGTACTTGTTCCTGTTTGGTATGTATCCCACGCGGTCTAAAAGCTCACGGTTGCAGGCTTCTTGAGGATGGCCATAAAGGCAGATAAATATTTGACACCCTTTGCAACAACTGTCACTGGTAGAAGAGGCAGATTTTTACTTTATTGTAGCCAGTGGCCTCTTTAATCGCATCGGGATTCGCCGGTTATCTCGGCGGGATTTCTGCTAGTTGCGTCAGTCAATATTCACAGGAACTGGCAAGATGTTTATTGAGCCTTCCGCATTTAGTCATCTGCAACAATCGTCTGCATCTTTCATAAATGCATTTTGTTACATAAGTAATAAACAAACCAAATAAGAAGTAAAGTGTAGAGAAGGTTTGAAATGTAACCCCATTCTTAAACCGTTTCTTGTTTGAATGCATTGTTGCCTTGTTGGACACCAGTGCGGTAATAGTTTGATCAGGTACACTGAAATGCATTTTAATTAAGCAAACATCCATTAGTGTGTTTTTTTTCTTAAATTAAAATGGGAGGAATAAAATATAAAGCCTGAAAGTCATTCCTGAAAATCACTGGCTGCATTTCGCTGCACTTTAATGGGTGTAAATTTAGCCAATCGTTAATTTTTTTTTTTTTGTGCTGGAAAAATATTGCATAGGCCAAACGGCAGGTGGCTAGTGGTGAAACAGCACGAATGCCTCAACCCATTACCTTCTCTGGATGTGGTACGTAGCAGTGACCCTGCCCCACAGTCAGGGGGCGCATGTGGATCGTGTCCCAGAAAGTTTTATTTCCGGCATGAAACGGTACTTGTCGATTTTGGAATGTTGTGGATGTACGCCCATGTCAAAGGAACGCGCTGGGGGGGGG